ATCAGCTGATAATGAATTATTTTTATGTAGGAAATGATAGATATCTGAAAAAAATGTAGGTCAGGTCAGAAAAAATTAATTGAACAATGCTGCACCATCGGGTATAAATATCTTTCTAGCTGGTGGCATAACAGATATTTGTTGTTAATATACCAATTAAAACACACGTATATAGTTGGAGAATATTTTGTATAAAATGCAGAATGGAAAGAAAAGCCTGCACTTTCAGGAAACATTTGTGTAGTGTTGTCTTCACATTAAATTTCGCCAGTGTTGTGCGATAATTATGGACTTATCCCCTTATCAGAAAGAAGAAACGCATTCAGCAGAGCAAAAATGTTAAAAAGGTACGGACGGCTTGATATATTTTGTTTTCCAAAGAAAAAGTCTAAAATCATTCCTAACAAATTTCTGATAAGGAAATCTTAATATTTGAACCCGTCAAACATGAACAAAACGAAAAATGATTGCGACTCACTAGCTTACACCCAGATGAGATGAGCCTGTGTTTATTCAATATGGTTGCTCATTGAAAGAAAAATACATAACAGAGAATAATGAATGAGTGTAGGTTCTATATATTGAATTTATTGAATGAGTTAGAAAATAATGTTATGCGAAAAACTTCAATAAATTTAGTAAATAAGAAAATTTCCGTTTATTTGACGGGCGGTTAATATTGAAACGCTACCATTTAGCGTGACGTTGTGCCACTATGGCGTCAGATTTATTTATGCGACACAGTCTTACAGTTTTTTTATTATAGTAGACAGTACACAGTAGACATTTTATTTTATTCCAATAGGCTTTAAAGCCGATGAGGACATAAAATATGCACAATAACGAACAGTGTATGACATAAACATATATACAAAAGATCAAAAATCATGAAAAAGTTTGGAAAAGATCAATTTTGATTGATAAAGAAAATACCAGCCGAAATTTTCTTAAGTAGTTACATTATGAACATTTTCATATCAAAATTGATCTTTAAACCACTATTATATATAGGTCTCTTGTATATACATATACACATACATACATACACACGCACATATAAATTTTAATTTATACATGTACATACATACAAAAACATACATTACAAATGGTCTCTTCGCATCAATTGCGGATTTCATAATTGTAAATGAAAGGAACGTCATAATTTGATCAAAACAATTACATGCAAGAATTTGCCGAGTTTTTTTTCACAAACGCCCAAACAAAAACAAAAAGTTTGGCAGGTATCAGCAATAAAAGAGTGACATTGGAATTTACTTATTAATTTCTAGTGGTAAACATTTTACCGACCATGAAATATAGTTTCAAATCGGATTTGAATTTCGATGTTTTATCCATGCCGGAAAACCCGTCTGAAACCTTTAATGCCAGACCGCTCATGCTCTTAAATGACGTCATTATCTTTATGGAAGAACGGTTTTAACAATTATTACGCTACTCTTAAACTAGTAGTGTTCATCCGTGTTGTTCTACAGAAATTAGAAACTTAGACGGGAGCGATAGCGACCGGAGAATATTTCTTATTTCTGTAGAACAGCAACGGATGAATACAAACATATACTTAGTGTCAAGCTTTATTTTGCTTCATTAATATTTACTTTATTTCGTCACTATACCTGTCCATTTTCACAAACGCGGTTCTATGAAGCACTATGAAAAATAGAAGGCTGCTATGAACGGACTTTGATATATCATCGACTTTTGTTCTTCTTTGAAAATTTACACAAAGAATTTTTAAGAAATATAACGTTTTCATTGGATGACAAATAAAGCTGGACACTGATATTATTTATTTCAGTTTCTTTATTTGGTTCTACACATCATCTTATGTCTGGTAAACATAACTTTTCTATTATATAGAAAATCAATTAATCAGAAAAAAATGCGCCGTACGTTATCATTGATATTTTGTGCGCCATACGTTATCATTTCCAGAAAATGTCCCGATATTAATATTTTCAGCGGTTATTCTAGCCAGAATGGGCATGAATGCTTAGATGACGACATATTACAACTTTTTAAAGTCAGTAGTTTCAGTTAATATACTTATATGTAAACGAAACAGTGAATTTTAGAGAAAAAGCCGTACGTTACCACGATCAAACCGGTGAAAAATTCTCTCGCTTTGAATCTGGTGACGCGCATTTCAGATGAAGTACGGGACGAAACATCATGAAATAAAATCGTGTGTGCCAGGAAAATTGTGGAGAAGGTTATTATATGTACCTTTACATTAGAACATCACGAATTTCAGAGAAAAAATGGAAAAACCTACTTTTTGGCTGCATCCGCCATCTTGTTTGTTTGGGTAACAAACGGCGTGATTCTCCCCCGTGACTATAGCAGCACTATTATATGACCGACAGGACTGTGTTCCGAAGTTTGCTGCTCCTTTAACCCCTGAACACCTCGCCGATTATTCCTATTCAGAGTTTATCCGGAGACTGTATTTTGCACGTGCACTGGTGTGGGTTCAAGACTTACTGTGAGCCAACTTTTTATTTAATGTTATTTTAATTTTGTTCAGTCAGATTGTGTTTTGTTGTTGTTTTTTGTTGTTGTTGTTTTAAATTTCTTTCTTTTAATTCTTAAATCGAGATATATTTGCAAATTTATATGTACTTTTTAGTGTAAAATATATGAAAACAGGGTAGTTTTTATCCCCCGCCGAAAAGGCGGCGGGGGATATAGAAATAGTCTCCGTCCGTCCGTCCTTCCGTCCGACATTTTTGTCCGGAGCATATCTCAAAAGTATAAAGATAAGATAAGATAATGATAACTCTACCCTGCATAATTTTTGAGTTATTGCCCTTTGTTATTTTTCAAAATTAATTTTTGTCCAGAGCATAACTCAAAAACCCTATGAGATATCAACATGAAACTTCATAGGTGCATAGATTTCACTCAGGAGGTGTGCAGTGCACAAGAATTATAACTCTATCTTTCATAATTAGTGAGTTATTGCCCTTTGTTATTTTTCATACTTAATTTTTCACCTGAGTGGAGCATAACTCAAAAAGTGTTTGAGATGTCAACATGAAATGTCATAGGTGGATAGATCTTATTGAGGAGGAATGCTGTGCACAAGAATGTTAACTCTTCCCTATACAATTTTTGAGTTATTGCCCTTTGTTCCTTTTCATACTATTTTGTCTGGAGCTTATCTCAAAAAGTATTTGAGGTTATCTCAAAAAGTATTTGAGGTATCAACTTGAAACTTCATAGGTGGATGGATCTCATTGAGGAAAAGTGCAGTGCACAAGAATGGTAACTCTACCCTGCATAATTTTTGAGTTATTGCCCTTTGTTATTTTTCAAAATTAATTTTTGTCCAGAGCATAACTCAAAAGGCCTTTGAGATATCAACATGAAACTTCATAGGTGCATAGATCTCACTCAGGAGGTGTGCAGTGCACAAGAATGATAACCTATCCTGCATTATTTTTCAGTTATTGCCCTTTGTTATTTTTAGCCATCAGTATTCACATAGGTTTCAAATCTGTAATCACTTCAGCCATCAGTTTTCATTACCAAAAGACCAAAATGGAATTATTCTGCTCTACTACATATACATTCTTCCAATGAGGAAACACATTCGGCGGGGAATGGCCATGTTGACATGGCTCTTGTACAACTTAAAATGTCTATATTTTCGAATCTGGATGATAAACCTCCCGAAGGCCAGTCTGTTCTGTAAAGAACTAAATATAAGAAGAGTTTTCATTGGTCATTTTTAAATCAAAAATGAAATCTGGGAATCTTATTGGCCATTCTAGGATAAAATGTAAAGGATAGTTCTTGTCATTCTAAGATAATTCTAATCTAAAATGTTAAGGATGCCATCATGACATATAATGTAAGGGATAGTTCTAAAATAAAATGTACATGATAGTTCTTTAACTTTCTATTTAATTTGCTCAGATATTTAAGTTTTGTTTAACAATTCTTCTTGCATTCAGATCTTTTTACATGTGAACGGTTTATTTTATGTTTTACTATTACCACGGTACATGTTCATCCTTGTTAATTTGTGTCATAATCAATAGAGTTAACACAAACACAAACACTTTGATTGATAATGTCTGACAGAGCCAGACGTCTTTATTGTCTAAGAATAGATAAATCAAAAGATTAACCAAAAACTTATACATACATACATACATACATATACATACATACATGCACGCACGCACGCACGCACGTACGTATACGTACGTAGATACATACATAGATACATACGGCCGAGTATTTTTTTTACATATACTTCTTGTTTGAATTGTATTTTATGAATATATAACGATGGCCCATCGATAGATGACCAGTTTTCTGAACCCACACTCTGTTTTTACCAAGTCTGACACATTCCTGTTTGAATTAACCATTTTTTCCAGAAATGCTTTTATTTGTTTCTTTGTTTTTGTTTCTTTCCTTTCATATCAAAACTATGGGTGTTTCTTACCACTACTAAATAGATAAAGATGATTTAAGTAACAATATTATTTAACTGATGAAAACTTGTTTGTTGTTGTTCTTGTTGTTCTACATGTATATTCAAAAGTCTTATTTAAATCGTTAATATTTTAAATTTTTTGTTCATTTTTTTTGGCATTTACTAGTATATGAAGAATATGATAAAGTTTTGAAAAAGTAATGTTTTAAATGACATTTAAAGATCCTGCTGAAACGTGTGTAATATATACAAATTTTAATACAGGTACATACAATTAATGATCAATTTAACATTTTGAAAAACACAACTGACGTTATGTGATGAACTTGAATTTACATTACATTTTTCGTAATCATAACATGTTAAGGATTTGTCCGTGCAAGCCATTATTGATTATATAAAGCGAATCGGGTTACACACATTAACCGAAGCGTATCTTGTCACCTTTTAGGCGAATACGGGTGTAAATAAATATAGGTTGGCAGGCACAACGTGAAATACCTACAGTATTTATTAAATAGTATAAACCCCGTAAGGTCACGGTTATATACACACCGCTACTTACACGATTTTATCTAAAAGTTCAAAGTATGGAACACGGTATTGGAGCAATGACAGGTATAATGTTTTAAACATTCCGGATATCTAACGATTTAAGATAACAAAAAATTGGACTTTTTTATATAAAATGTCCGAATTACGCGTATAGGACTATTATCAACAATTGCCAACGATTTTCAGAGATGTTTGTCTACTCTAAATTTGGATTACATTACGAAATAACCACACAACTGTGATAAATATTTCATATATGTGACAAGTTGGTGTTGTGTTTATATCAATAAGGAGGAAGTCATGTTTAAGGCAATAGGGCGCTTGGGATCCAGTGTTCGATCTAGTATAAATCTTACTATCTTTACTAACATTTTTGGTTCAAAGTCCAAGAAGTACGGTGATTTAGGTAATGAGGATGAGGAGGTATTTATTGACGCACAAGAGACTATTGACAACGAAACAGATACCGAAAATGTCGATGACCAGAATAATGGACATGTCAAGTCTGTAAGAGGTGATACCAAATTGGAAAAGAATGATGTTAAAGCAGATCTTGATGAAACTGACCTAAATAATACCCCCAATGATCCGTTTACCACTGAAGTAGAGATAGTTGAAATTAATAAGCCGGTGAATGAAGTTACTATAGAAGTGAATGGACAGAGTACCGAGAAAACGTCTAGTCATAACAAATCTGAAGGACAGTCAAGCGACAGTAGCAGTGAAGCCGATACTGATGGTGGTAAAAGTGATTGTGAACATGAAGAAAACGATGATGAGGACGATCATCATGAAAACCATAAAGACACAAAAAAGATTATAAAAGATTCTAAACAAAACAACGGAATAGTTCATAGTGCCAGTTCTTCATCAATGATGAAAAAGGTTCATAGGCGAATGAACAGCTACTCCCAACGACAGTATGCCAAATTTGATAATTCTCAAGACGATGAAACCGATAATGTTGTTCAATCAACAGATGAATCACCAAAAGATAACGAGGACTCGTATGAAGGTGTCGATGATAACATAGAACAATCACACGTTTTTAAATCTGAAAAGAAAACCAAAAGAAAGAAAAAGGTAGCATTCTTCAATTTTTTCAGAGGCTTTTTTAGATCAAAGTCTACACGAATTAGATGAAACCGAATCTCTTCATTATATATATGTACTTGATCTGAATTGTTTACAAATACCACACTTCAAAACTTATCGTTTATAAACTTTGTAAATAGTTAATTAAAATTACATTTTTCATACAGTTAAAACATCACCGTTATAATAAACATGAAATAAGAGCAACCTATTGTGTCTTAATCTAGTTATGATTAGATGACTCTGATACATGGATTTTAAGATCTGATATATATCATGTTCATTTTATTATATTTATTCATTCATTCTTTTACATACACTGATATTTGCATGTTGTCTTCCAAAACTTGTTTACAATATAAGCTATTTTTGGTATTTAATTTATTTGCATACATATTTAACATAATGCATTTACATCACATGATAATGACAGATATCAAATTTTGAAAGTGATACTGAAATGCAGTGTTTCATAAACATTGCTCGTGTCTGTACATATTTTTCTACACATTTAAATGCTATTTGTTTCTCGACTCATGATATGAATTAATTGATAGAAATACCATGATGGGTCATTTTGTGAAACGCTGGTCATTTAGACTGTGCCCTCTCACTACTGCAATACAAGTCAGTGCTAACCCCTTGTACCCCAACACACACGACCATTCTTGTTCTGCTTTAAAGATCCTGTAACACATTTTTTTCATGATTTTATTTTATAAATATGATGCTCAAATTAAGATTTGTCAATATTGTAAGATCCAATAAGCATTATTTATAAAGATATAACCGAATTTAACATTTCAGGTAATTAGAAATTTATTTTCTATAAATTCTAAGTCAAATTTTCCAATAAGAAATGAATGCATACAATTTATTGATTAAATATAATGTGCACAAATATTTGCAAAACACATTTTACATATTCTTCGATATTTGAAAATTGTTTTATTTGCATAATTATATACATATATAATTTTTTGCAAGTGTGGTATACACACAGTAACAATATCAATCACAAAACATACAGGATCTTTAAATTTGGAACAGTCCAATGCTCAACGAATGCCGATTACGGATATTAAAATACCAATTAGTGTTTAGATGACATAACTAGTCTGGTCAAGTAGTGATGCTGCAAGTATTTCATTACTTTTTGATTATTAGAATCTTTTTTTTTTTTTTTAAATAAAATGTAAATCCATGTTCAATTACTTGTACACATTTCCTCTAAAATGTAGTTTGTAAATTATCACTCCAAGACAAAAATATAAATGGTTTAAAGCAGCATGCCTACAAATTCATTCTATTTTTTTTATATCTTTTTATGACAATTTTGAAAAAGTAAATATTGCGAAGAGAACAATGTAATTTACACATTAAAAATGACACTTATAATCCACGTAAATAACCAATAAAATGGCCCTGACTTAGTTAGTCATGCGTGATAAATACTGCAAAATAAGCCCTGAATTTTTACCTTTTTAAAAAATCTTAGTACATTTTTCTCAAGTTTTATTTCCTTGAAATAGTTTGGCTAATATGGAGGCATGCAGCTTTAACGCATTGGAGACTATACATTGTTATTCTGTGGAAACAATTCTAATTTTGCTCTTTAGAATACGAGTATGATTTATTTTAAACTGCCATGGTACAGTATCGTACTTAATTGTATGTAAAAATCGTAAAAACTACAGAATGAACAATTTAAAAAGAATTGAACACTATTTAAACTGGGTCATTTTCATTCAACCTATTATTATATTGAATAATAGATAAAAAATATAAACGCTAGGTACTTCCTGATGAGGAATATTATTAAGAAAATGCGGCGTTATTAAAAATATTAATAGTCGGCTAGCATTATAAGATTAGAGCCTCTGAGGGAACTTACCTGATGTAGTAATATCTTAGAGAAAAAGTGTAGAGTCTCAATATTGTCTTAATGGCGTTAAAGTAAGCAACCATTTACACTGTCAGCTACAGCATTAAATGGGAATAGAAAGTCACGTCTGACGGTAGCAGACGACAGTATATTTTCATATCTCTGGCCTTTGACCAATTTCCCAGGGTGTTGTCTAAATGTTGTTTTTTTTATTATAAAATATCTTTTTCATAATAAATTGCCGAAATTTCTGACATAACATTTTATTTAAAACTGTAACTTTATAAGAGAGTTAATTATATTTATCAAAATTACCGCGTTACCTATGTACCTTATATTTGGCCATTGTTTCATATGTAGTCATAAGAAATAAGTCCGTATCATAAGGTTAGCATATGACAACTATACTTTACCAGAAGTCATTCCCTATTGTTGGTTATAACTTACATTATTTTTATACATATACTGTATATAGTACTTATGTCATGAGTTCCATGTTTTTTTTCATCTCAAAATGTATACTTTATATTTGTTAACTTTGATCTGATAGACTTTAATGCATATTAGAATTTATATTATTTATTTTTTTGTTTTATCTTTGTTCAGAGCAGATATATTTAAATGCCTTGTTAGAATTGTTGGCTATGAATAAATATATATATATATTAAGTCTATATGTTACGACAAATGATTTAGACTCTTGAATGACAAAGTAAATAAAGATGATTTGTTTTCTATGTTGACTTTATCATTGAATGAGATAACACTGTTTACTAACGTATTTGAATATGTATGATCCCTTTAGATATATTGATATATATGGTCTGTATACTGTAGGTAAAAAGACGGATTACGCGCATTTCTCGTCGGGCATTAAAAGTTTTACGGCAAGCATTCTATATAGCAGGGGTACCAATGATTGGACCTCTACCCGCTGACTGTGATTTCTTTTATGAAAGTTTAAGAAGATATGGGCCCAGAAACGATCATTATGGGTATACACGTGCATGTTCGTCCACATATATTCAAGTTGATATGTAGATAAGAAACCCTAGTCGCTGTCGTTATAGTAGCGGATTAATGCATGAAAAAAATATTTTAAATCAGTTGTATTGCTATGATCCGATGAACAAACCTCATTGTCACCCATGGACATACCAAATATTTGCATGCATGTCCTCTTTATACAGAAGGCATTTTAAATGTTCTTGAAAAAAGTAAATTAATATTTCCTTGTTCGCGCATTTTGACTTTCATCGTTTACTCGTTGAATATTAATTTGTCTTCATTTTATTTGTACACTATATACTATTATGTAAATATATTGACATAATATACTATATGCATTCTGTTTTTTCCTTTGCATTTTAAGTTAATATTGACTAACTGGTGTATGACAAGCGCATTAATCACGTTGCATGCCGGTACCAACTTGTTTGTTTTCATTTTTTTCCAAAAACATCTTCATTTTCTCTTATTCATAGATCGCAAAGCGGACTAAAAAAGCTGTGAGAGGATCTTGGAAATGGTTTAAAAGGTCAATGGTGGCGTACTCATACACGTTCAACTTCTCATCCATGTTTGTTGTCAATATTGCTTCTGCAGCAAGAAAATGATGCACCACTTCCCTAACAAACATTTCACTGTGTAAATTTGTCTTTCAAATAGTTATTACCAGTTCAACATTACCTGAACACATTGTACAAGATTTATAGATATGCTCATCGCGCGGTTCTTCTACTAGAGTATGCGATCTTTTTATAAAGATGTTGATTCTGGAGCAATTTGTTTTTTTTTATCAGTTTTCATTAAAAACAAATCAAATATGTAATTAAAAGGTTTGATCTCAAGCTTACTGCTTCCATTATGATGCTTACTGCTTCCATTATGATGAAAAAATAACGTTTTCATTTTGCATGATAAACAGCGTTTTAATAAAGTAATATTTTCGTAAGTTTATTATTTGTATGTGTTTTTTTTAATACCTCATCTATTCCTTAGTCTGGGGATATAATTACTTGCATAATATAATTAATGTTCCAGAACAAAAACTGTTAACCAGTCCTTTTGAGACCATATACATGTGTCACCAGCAGTGGCGGTTCCCGTACTTCTAAATGTTACAGTAAGTTAAATCACGGGGTTACTTTTACGCGGTATACCTCCCTTGTATTTAATCGAAAGTAAAGTCTTTCAAATGGCTCGATATTTCTGTTTGTCATAAAATGCGTACATGTATGATACTGTAATATAATCGTCCTGTTTTAAATATTAAATGTGTATCACCCGGCATCAACAGATGCAATCATGTGTTGCTTTAATAGTCCATAAAAACATTATATAGTCTGCTGGTATATAACAAGAGCGATCAGTGATCACATGTGTCGCCTCATGATGGCCAATTTCATGTTGGGACAAGTTTTGTGACAGACGGACAGACAGACGGACAGTGCACAACTAGACTTGGTACTGATCATTCCTGTAAAGTTTGGATAAAATTGCACCAGTAGTTTATGAGGAGTTGTCCGGACAAGCTTTTGTGTATCTGGCAACACACAGAAAAAACACCTTTTTATCAAAGGGCCATTACTCGGCCAAAAATCATTCAACCGGAAAACCCATGCAATGTGCGCAAGGACTTGAGCTACAGATCAATCCTGTAAAGTTTCATTGAAATTGCATTAAGTAGTCCGGACAAACTTTAAAAATAAAAAAATATTAAAGGGCCATAACTCTGACAAAAATCATTGAACCGGAAAATACTGACAATATGCACAACTAGACTTGGTACTCATCATTCCTGTAAAGTTTGGCTGAAATTGCACCAGTAGTTTATGAGAAGTAGTCCGGACAAGTTTTGTGACGGACGGACAGACAGACGACGGAGAAGTGATCCCTATATGTCGCCACTACTCCGTAGAGGCGACACAAAAATGCCTCCAGATATTATATTTTATGCTCCCGCTATAAAATGGGGGTGGTGGCTATACTTTATACTGAACATTACCCTTGTCCGTGTGCACGTGTTTAAGACCCGGGTCGCATACTCACAGCTAGAGTATTGAGCTTAGCGTATTTCTCATATATACTTAAGGACAATGAAAACGCCCGCCCGCACAATATGCATTTTATTACATGAAAACAAAACACTAACGACTCAATTAGATATATATCATAACACTTCAATACAAAAAGCAAACTTAACAACTGGAAAATAATTCAAAAATGAATACTTTAAAATCAAATGTACACAGTAATCGTGAGACCTTAGGTGAAAATCCCAAAAAATCACACTTTTTCATAAAACAGTAATGCAAACTTAACAAAGGCAAAAACCGAAATGAAAATCCAAAACAAAAAGTCACTCATAAATGTCTATTTTCTAATGTCACCGTCGGGATCTTTATAAAACAAACAATGTCCTCCATCAGCGTCTCGATATCTTACAGATGTACATCGTCGGCCTCATAGACCTTACGGTGGCGGATAGTTCGCCTGTGGAATCTGGCGCCATTCGGCCTGTAGTTTAGTGCGAAAACGCTGGTGAAGCCTAGATTTGTAGACCGATGGACACCAAAATGGTTGGCGCTTTGATATGTACAAAATTTTGATTGAAAGATAGACCAGATTGAATCTGTCCTTAAATCTACAGGCGGTTAATTCTTTGTAGAACCATTGCATACCAATTTTGCCTAGCAAATCTTCAGTATTGTTTGAAATTAAGCAGCAGTTTAATAGAGGAAAGTGTTTATGCAATTCAATGTGAGCTTTTTACGATTTCTGAAACTGAACATTGGCAAAGTTTAATATTCATTTTTCATAAAAAAATTATTTGCTCATTTGTGTCTAACATTTCTAGAAAGGTGGTGTAAAAAACAAGTTAATAATTATCAGTTAAAAAAATAAATAATTTCATTTCATAAAGTAACCATGAATTGATTAAATCTGTTTTTGTTGTGATTTTATCACAAATTAGCCCAAAGTGTTACTTTTGATTTTTCGGTACTGTCCTTTTATCATGCAATAACTTTCATTAAAATGCAATCATTTTTCATAACTTTGGTATCTAAATGACCGAAATGCATTCGGTTTTATGAAACTGTGAAAAAATATTTAAAAGAAATATATTTTCCTTGTTAAAATGCAATTATCCCGACCGTGCGTTTTCATTGTCCTTAAGTATATAAAATCTAGTGCCATTAACGTTTATATCCGGTCCATAACGTCTGCATGCATTTCTCCACATATATGGCATAAAAACCACAATTCTATTTCTACACATATATGATATAAAACCACAATTCTTTTACAAGGGAAACAGAGATATGATATATCTACACTTAATTGTGTCGCGCGAAAGGCGCTCAAAAGTCAAGGTTACAGCAAGTGATTGAACTTTGTGTTTTGTCATTTAGTTTATCTGCTGCTGACCCTTAGTTTGTGTCTCGTCTGTAACTTCTGCATGCATGATGGGATTTCTTTTACACACATTAAAACATACATATTCAATAAACACATACGTGAAAAAGCAGAACTTGTGAGTTTACACGAAATAAATATCATCTTATGTAACAAACAATCAATGGTATGTTGTGTAGGCCCAATTCTTTTATATTTTCTGAAAACGTATTGCACAACAATTAAAAAATGAAGTGGTCATAGCGACAGTGCTTCGATTATACATTTGTAAGTTGTCAAATTGATAAAGTACATAATTTTTAGGGAAACTACTTTACTAGGTAATTAGAATTTTGTTTTCTATAAATTCTAAGTCAATTTTTTCAATAAGAAATGAATGCATATAATTTAATGATTACCTTAAATATGTACAAATATTTGCAATACATATTTTACATATTCTTTGATGTTTGAAAATTAATCAATTTGCATAATTACATACATATATAATTTAATGAAGAGTGGTATGCAATCTCAATTACAAAACATACAGGATCTTTAAGTTATTACCGTTATATGATGGTTTTACAGAGTTACTGGTGGAAGAGGACCCCAGGTGCCACCGTGCATGTTAAAGCCGAATTAACCCATATCCTATCTCGATGTAAGACATCTCCAAGACAAAATATAAAGAGAAAATTTTATTCATCCTCATTAACCCAGGCGTACTCGTAATGTGTACTCTTCATTCGTGATGAATATAGAAATCGGGGGTTCCGACAGTGGTTTCATTAAGATTTTATCCAAATTGTGGTATCTAGATTTATAGTATACTTCTTCTATTATTATTTCTTCATTACTTGCATTGCCTATCTCTTTAAGACGAACAATCAAAGTTTGATGAAGACCCATTCAAAAGTGTACAGGACATGCAGAAGTCTATAGGCAAACACCAACACATGGGCTACATTCTCACCACAGAGGGGCATAAAAGGATATTTTTTTCACTAATGAAAACTTTTTCTAATCGTTTCTTGCATAATAATGCCTGCTTACTTTAACAGAAATAAAACAATAATTAGCAAATCAGCCCAACAAGAACATCGGATGTAGTTTTTTGAGAGTCAATGCAGACATATTCTTGTTAAAAATTATGGTCAATGTTCGACTGGACTGTTTCTACTGTACTTTTTATTAAAGGTCAAGTTGACATTGGGCCTTTTGAACGGCTTATAACTCATTAAGGTACATCTATTTAAAATGATGACGATCCCAGGTCAATGTACTTTGCATGAATGGCCAGTTGTAGGCCTTTTAAGCGGAAAACAGGTTGACAGGTACATTAAGGTACATCTATTTTAAAATGTTCAGAGATCCTAGGTCAATGTACTTTGCTTGAACGGCCAGTTGTATTTATTATTATTATTACAGGATTAACAGGTCCCAGTGACCTTGACTGCATCCCAGTGACCTTGACCGCTTGACTTAGAATTGGGCATGTCAGGTAGAATTCATCAAGAAGCATCAACGGAATAACTTCACTAGTACTGAAGTTTATAACCATAAAATAACTAAAAAATTAATCAACGCCAACGCTCACAAATGGACAGTGGCAATAGCTTTGCTTTTCTTTGGAAACTTGTGCTAACAAGAGCCACCGTCTTGCAAAGGCAATGCTGGACTTTTTTACATTTTCTAAAAGAAAAAAAAAACGTAAAAGCAAAAAAAAAAAAACAGTATAAACAAATCTGCATAAAGAAAATTAAAGAAAACAAGAGCCGTGACTGAAATGTGACTAAATGTGCCCCCGAAAGGTTGCTTTGACATAAAATCCGCAATATATACCAAAATACCGATTTTAGACGCCCGACCACCTTTGATGAATATTAGTCCTAAAATTTCATTGAAATTCCATTAGAAGTGTAGGAGAAATAGTCTGAACAAATTTTACTAAAAAAATTCCATCAAGGACCCATAACTGTACGCACAAAAAAAAATCATGGCACTATGCACAACTGAGGTTGGAAAATCACGACACCATGCCAACAATTTTAGAAATGTTCACTGAAATTTCCAAAATGATTTTGGAGATGAAGGATGGACAAAGTTAATTTACTGAAAAATCAAGATACTATGCACAACTAGGCTTGTCCTGTGAAGTTTCACTGAAATCTTCATTTTGGGGGAATAAAAACAAAATTTATGAAAATTCAGTAATTGAGCTTGATGGTCAAGGTCATTTAAAGCTTGGACCAAAAGTCCAGTTTAATTTGTTTGCAGACGGAAAGGACGCCATGACTGTAACAGTACCTCTTTTATTTTCTTCAAAAAAAAAGTTAAGCTAAAAAATCTTGAAATATACATGTACCTAGAAATTATGCTATAAATATAATTTGGTGTTTCAAGTTCCATATTGACAGTAGGAGCAGTAGTCCAGTGGTAGGACGCGCGCTCAGGGATCGAGAGGTCCCGGGATCGAACCCCACTAGGGGCACTGCTAATTTTCCTTGAGCAAGAAATTAACCTGCGATTGCTTCACTTCACCCAGGTGTAAATGGGTACCTGCGAGGGTGGTATAAATCCGTTGCGCCAAAGTGTCGGCTGCACTAAGCGGAGTTAAAAAGACTCCCCAGGGAGATTGATAGATAGATACAGTAGCCCGATGACCAGGTGTAATAGCTGTAAAGTCGGTGAACGTGCGTAAGCATGAAACTTAGACTATAAAATGCAATTACAATAGACACTGGATGCCAGACATATGTCACCTTGACTCCTTGATTCTGATAAAGTAAGAAGAAACAAGTTTTAGGCATTTTACATTTTATTCTCAACAATTTACCTTTAAATGCTTATAAAAAAGGACAGCATTCTTTATATGATCTCCCTATTATAATTTCCATTTGTTAAGACCCTGCCATAAAGATGCCTAACATTTCAGTTTGACTCTCCTATTTATGCTTCATCTTTAAAGATACAAAATGTACTTAAGTCACATTTATATACCAAAAGGTAAAACATCAAACAAATTTTGAGGCCATAGACAATATCTTAGTGAAGTCTCCTTCCTTTCCACGCAGACAAGAAGGTATTGGAGCACGTATCCTTGTCCCTGTTGGGATTCCATTCTCTTCAATTAGAACTATATTGTTTGTGTCAAATCTTGGAACATTTGGTTTCTGTTTTTGTACACAGCCAACAATGTAAGCTTTCTTCATTTCACCCATAATTGTAACTTTTACCATGTCGCCTATCCTTCCTATTGATGTTTTATTATAAACATGAATTATTTTCACTTTTTTGCCTGCCAATACTGCTTTACGTCCCATCATGCTATTGTCAACAACTTTCACTGTAGACAGTTTTTGAAGTTCCTTCAGACAACATGATGTGCTATAATAAACATAAAGTTAATAGTTATATTGACATAATAACTGTATATGAGGGCCATGGTGGCCCAGATCTAATTGTTAATGTTTATAATAACTTTTTTTAAGCATATACTTTACAAATGTTTTAAGTACATACTTTGATTTATTACATATACATCTTTTGAACTAAAACTTGAATTTGCAAGATATTTTGTAAAAAAAAATCAACCCATTATTATTTTTATTGTTGTAGTTTTTAGATAATAAAAATCCCTAAATGTTGCTCTACTTTGTAGCATGTTACACCTACTGAGTAGCAAGAGACAAAAAAATTTCATTGACCAAACTGGTCATAAATCAGTCAACACAAGAGCCCGGTTTGAGCCGGGTGATGCTCCCCGAATAGGTTTTGGACACAGGAAAGTACACCTCTTGTAGTTTCAGAGTTTTGTCCCTGGAAAAAGTTCAGGCAATAATTCCAAAATTAGGCAAGGCAGAGTTACTGTTCTTTGCACTGCACTTCTCATCAATGTGATCTATCAACCTACAAAGTTTCTTGATGATATCTCTTATGATTTCTGAGTTATGTCACGGACAACTTCAAAAAGTAACAAGAACTGTTGGAGGACAGTAACGCTCGACTATTCGAAAATTTGTCACAAGGGTGTTTCATTGAGTATAATAATGCTTACCTATATGAATACATAAAATTGTACGAAAAGGTACAAACCCTTCAAGTTTCAATACAATCACAGAGAACAAGTCTGTGAAGTTTCAATCCATTCCCTTCAGTAGTTATGGAGATACAAGCTTACACACAAAAACTTAACCACGAATTTATGAATCGAAAAAGGGGAATAATTATGCGAAAAAGTACATCAGAGTTATGGCACTTGTGCCAATCATCTTAAATAATCACAGAGACCAAGTGTGTGAAGTTTCAATCCATTCCCTTCAGTAGTTATGGAGATACCAGCTTACACGCAAAAACTTAACCAAGAATTTCTAAGATAAAAAAGTGGCATAATTATGCAAAAAAGCAAATCAGAGTTATGGGACTTGTGCCAATCATCTTAGATAATCACAGAGACCAAGTGTGTGAAGTTTCAATCCATTCCCTTCAGTAGTTATGGAGATACCAGCTTACACGCAAAAACTTAACCAAGAATTTCTAAGTCGAAAAAGGGGCATTTTTATGTAAAAAAGCAAATCAGAGTTATGGGACTTGTGCCAATCATCTTAGATAATCACAGAGAACAAGTGTGTGAAGTTTCAATCCATTCCCTTCAGTAGTTATGGAGATACCTGCTTACATACAAAAACTTAACCAATAATTTCTAAGTCTAAAAAGGGGCATAATTATGTAAAAAAGCAAATCAGAGTTATGGGACTTGAGCCAATCATCTAAGATAATCACAGAGAACAAGTGTGTGAAGTTTCAATCCATTCCCTTCAGTAGTTATGGAGATACCAGCTTACATACAAAAACTTAACCACAAATTTCTAAGTCGAAAAAGGGGCATAATTATGTAAAAAAGCAAATCAGAGTTATGGGACTTGTGCCAATCATCTTAGATAATCACAGAGAACAAGTGTTTGAAGTTTCAATCCATTCCCTTCAGTAGTGATGGAGATACCAGCTTACATACAAAAACTTAACCAAGAATTTCTAAGTCAAAAAAGGGGCATAATTATGAAAAAAAGCAAATCAGAGTTATGGGACTTGTGCCAATCATCTTAGATAATCACAGAGAACAAGTGTGTGAAGTTTCAATCCATTCCCTTCAGTAGTTATGGAGATACCAGCTTACATACAAAAACTTAACCACAGGGACGCCGACGCCGACAAATGGGTGACTGCATTAGCTCGATTATTCTGCGAATAGTCGAGCTAAAAATAAACAAAGGGCAATAACTCCAAAATTAGGCAAGGCAGAGTTATGATTCTTGTGCACTGCACATCTACCCATTAAGATATATCTACCTACAAAGTTTCATGTTGATATCTCTTATAGTTTTACAGCTATGTCCTGGACAAGATTTTTCTAAAAGGGGAGATAATTCAAAAATGAGGCTTAACAGAGTTATGGTTCTTTTGCATTGCACCTCTACTCAATGAGATCTATCTACCTACAATGTTTCATCTTGATATCTCTTATAGTTTTAGAGTTATGTTCCGGACAAAGTTCAAAGTGTTAAAATTAACAAAGGGCAATTACTCCAAAATTAGGACAAAAAGAGTTATTGTTCTTATGCACTGCACATCTACCCATTGAGATCTATTCACCTACAAAGTTTCATGTTGATATCCCTTATAGTTTTAGAGTTATGCCCCGAACAAGATTTTTCTATAAGGGGAGATAATTCTAAAACTGGGCAAAATAGAGTTATGGTTCTTTGACACTGCACTCCCCCTCAATGCCCCCTTACCACTGTATGAAGTTTCAAGAAATTATCTCCAAGGGTTTTCAAGTTATGCTCCGGACAAGACAACGGACGGACAAGGCGCCGACTATATGCTCCCCCGAAATTTTTCGGGGAGCATAAAAAACCACCGTCAGGCAGTGGCAACCCTCAACTTTTCTACTTTTTCATTAAGCAAATAAATAAAAACAAAGTTAAAAAAATATAAGCAAAATTCAATCATTTGACCATCAAGGTCATTTAAAGGTCAAGGGCATATCTAAATTATTCATCATGTTGAATTTTACCAAAATTCAATAATTTCACCTTCATGGTCAAAGTCATTTAAAGGTCAAGGTCAGTTCAACCTTTCATTAAGTCTTGTCCAAAGAATTTTTTTCTCTCCAAGAATAGAGATAATCCATTGAAACAGCACCAAGTTACAGTCATTTATAGCAAAAAAAATCACTGAAAATTCAATAATTTTACTGTCAATGCCATTACTAATTCAAGGTCTATTTGATTTTGATATACATAAAGGTACTGATGTTGTGTCTAAATAATAAAGTTAATCCATTTATAAATAACAAAGTTATAGCCAGTTAAGTAAAATAACCAGAATTTCGATACTTGGACCTTGACAGTCAAGATCAATTAAAGGTCAAATTAAATATTGTTGTTTGGTAGCAAGTCTTCGTATGTCCAATTATAAATAAAATCCGTACATAAATAACAAAACTATTACAATGTAACCAGAATCCAGTAATTTGACCTTATCAGTCTAGGTCATTTAAAGGCCAGGGTCAAGGTCAATTCAAACTTTCATTAAGTCTTGTCCAAAAGATTTTGTCCAAGTATGAAGATAATCTATTGATAAATTACCAAGTTAGAGTCAATTATAGCAAAAATCAGTGAAAATTCAATAATTTAACCTTAAAGGTCAATGAGCTAAGGTTAATTTGAGTTTGATATACATGAATGTCCTGACATACAAGATGTTTTGTTTAACATGACATCAATCCATTCATTAAACACAAAGTTATAGCCAGTTAAAGCAAAAAGAAGAAAATTGTAATAATTTGACCTTCAAGGTCAAGGTCATTTATGAGTGAAGGTTAAGGTCTGTCTGGTTAACTTGAAGGTCTATCCTAAAAGATTGTTGTTGTTCATAACAATCCGTTCTAAAATAACAAAGTGATAGCCACTGATACATGTAGCAACAAGAGCACCGCTAGGCGGAGCATTATATGCCCGAAAGTGCTTTTTTTCTTTACTAAGGATGAAGCATTTGTAAGACATTACATAAATTAAATAAAGTATTACCTCCTTCAAATAGCAATCCTCCTATAAAGTTTGAATATTGTGGGCCAAATGGAACTTCAGTTATGCTCTGGAAACTGTTTTTAGTTTTGAGGTAATAGCTACCTTGAACTTTGACCGTGTGACCCCAAAATCAATAGGGGTGTTCTACCCAATATGGACAATCATCCTATGAAGTTTCAACACTATGGGCCAAATAGAAATTAAGTTATGTTCTGGAAACTTTTTTTCAGTTTTATAGTAATAGTAACCTTGACCTTTGACATTGTGACCCCAAAATCAATAGGGGTGTTCTACCCAATATGGACAATCATCCTCTGAAGTTTGAATATTGTGGGACAAATAGACCTTAAGTTATGCTCTGGAAACTGTTTTCAGTTTTAAAGTAACAGTGACCTTTGACCTTGTGACCCCAAAATCAATAGGGGTATCCTACCCAATATGGACAATCATCCTATTAAGTTTCAACACTGTGAGCCAAATGGATCTTAAGTTACGTTCCGGAAACTGTTTTCAATTTTAAAGTAATAGTGACCTTGACCTTGTGACCCCAAAATCAATAGGGGTCTTCTACCCAATATGGACAATCATCCTATGAAGTTTGAACACTGTGGGCCAAATGGAACTTAAGTTATGCTCTAGAAACTGTTTTCAATTTTAAGGTCATAGTGACCTTGACCTTTGACCTTGTGACCCCAAAATCAATAGGGGTCTTCTACCCAATATGGACAATCATCCTATGAAGTTTGAACACTGTGGGCCAAATGGACATTAAGTTATGCTCCGGAAACTGTTTTCAGTTTTAAGGTCATAGTGACCTTGACCTTTGACCTTGTGACCCCAAAATCAATAGGGGTCTTCTACCCAATATAGACAATCATCCTATGAAGTTTGAACACTGTGGGCCAAATGGAACTTAAGTTATGCTCCGGAAACTGTTTTCAGTTTTAAGGTCATAATGACCTTGACCTTTGACCTTGTGACCCCAAAATCAATAGGGGTCTTCTACCCAATATGGACAATCATCCTATGAAGTTTGAATGTTGTGGGCCAAATGGAACTTAAGTTATGCTCCGGAAACCAAATTGCTAACAGACGGACGGACAGACGGACGGACGGATAGACAGACGGACGGACGGACGGACGGACGCCAGGGGGTATAACATAATATGCCCGAAATTCTTTCGGGCATATAAAAATTAATCAAAATTAACACCTTTGACAGAATAATTATGAATGATGGTCAAATTTAAACTGATATACTTGAAGGTCTTGTCCCAAGGGTTGTTGTGGCCGAGTATGAAGATAAAACACCAAGAACTTAAAAAGTTATGATCAACGTTAAAGTTTTAGGGACTGCAACAATTTGACCTTCAGGGGAAAGGTCATTATTGAGTGAAGGTCATAATCAATTTGGTCTATTCCAAGGTTCAATATTGAAGCAGGTCTTGCCCTAAGGATTGTTGTGTCCTAGTATGAACTTCTATAATGAAGACAATGCACTGTATAACAAAGTTACAGCCAATTAAAACAAAATAATTTGACCATCAGTGTCATTGATGAGTGAAGGTCATAATCAATTTAGTCTTCTTGAAGGCCTTGTTTTGTCTTAGAATAAAAAACAAAGTTAAAGTCAATTATTGGGAAAATCAAGCAACATTTTATAAGGTCAATGATGGGTGAAGGTCAAGTTCAGTCTGGTCAACTTGAAAGTCTTGTCCAAAGGGTTGTTGTGTTCAAGTATGATTGCAATCCATTGAAAAATAATAAAACTATTGCCAATGTTAAAGTTTTCAGACGGCAACAGCATCGGCAATGACAACATGACTGAAGCAATTGTTCTTTATCCTTCGGAAAGTGGAGTTAACTAGAGGATGCTTTTGTAAAAAAGCGCATGTCTCCCCCACTGCACTGTGACCTTGACCTTTGACCTACTGACCCCAAAAACAATAGAGATCATCTGCTCTATAAGACCAATCATCCTATGAAGTTTGAGGGCTGTAGGTCAAAAGGAACTCTAGTTATCATCCGGAAACGAGAAATTGACCAACGGTCACTGTGACCTTGACCTTTGACCTACTGACCCCAAAAACAATAGGGATCATCTGCTCTATAAGACCAATCATCCTATGAAGTTTGAGGGCTGTAGGTCAAAAGGAACTCTAGTTATCATCCGGAAACGAGAAATTGACCAACGGTCACTGTGACCTTGACCTTTGAACTACTGACCCCAAAAACAATAGGGATCATCTGCTCAATAAGACCAATCATCCTATGAAGTTTGAGGTCTGTAGGTCTAAAGGAACTCTAGTTATCATCCGGAAACGAGAAATTGACCAACGGTCAGTGTGACCTTGACCTTTGAACTACTGACCCCAAAAACAATAGGGATCATCAGCTCTATAAGACCAATCATCCTATGAAGTTTGAGGGCTGTAGGTCAAAAGGAACTCTAGTTATCATCCGGAAACGAGAAATTGACCAACGGTCACTGTGACCTTGACCTTTGACCTACTGACCCCAAAAACAATAGGGATCATCAGCTCTATAAGACCAATCATCCTATGAAGTTTGAGGGTTGTAGGTCAAAAGGAACTCTAGTTATCATCCGGAAACGAGAAATTGACCAACGGTCACTGTGACCTTGACCTTTGAACTACTGACCCAAAAACAATAGGGATCATCAGCTCTATAAGACCAATCATCCTATGAAGTTTGAGGGTTGTAGGTCAAAAGGAACTCTAGTTATCATCCGGAAACGAGAAATTGACCAACGGTCACTGTGACCTTGACCTTTGAACTACTGACCCCAAAAACAATAGGGATCATCTGCTCAATAAGACCAATCATCCTATGAAGTTTGAGGTCTGTAGGTCTAAAGGAACTCTAGTTATCATCCGGAAACGAGAAATTGACCAACGGTCAGTGTGACCTTGACCTTTGACCTACTGACCCCAAAAACAATAGGGATCATCAGCTCTATAAGACCAATCATCCTATGAAGTTTGAGGGCTGTAGGTCAAAAGGAACTCTAGTTATCGTCCGGAAACGAAGAATGGACGGACGGACTGACGGACGGACGGACGGACTGACGGACGGACGGACAGGGCAAAAACAATATGTCTCGCCCCGAGGTGGGGGAGACATAATAAATGTACAGTGCTTTCCAAATAAAAACAAATGTATACTTGGGCAGCTTTTTTAAGAATATTACATTTGTTTACCAGTAGGTGTAATCCACAAATAATCACAAAAGATCTCCCCTGTGATACTTTTCAAATTAAGTACATATACCTGGTAAGGTATTTGGTATTGAACTACCTTCTTTTACTGAAAATAACTTTCTTTGAACATAAATGAACACTATACATACCTTATATTTCGAACTTGTAGATTTGTAGACAGTACCCTTGAAATATTTCTACAAAGGTTCATTTTATCTAAGGCTTTCTCAACAACACTTCTTTCACAGCCCTGAAAAAAAAAATACAGTCTAACTTTCCCAAGTGACCATGGCTTTGTGTATTAAGTGATTTTTGCTCAACACAACCAGTGACAGCTAATTAGTCAGCTAATTGCGATCAGTCCTTCTATCAAATCACCACTTTTACCTGTCAAGTCCTTGCATTTTTAAAGAATGCCACCTCCTGCTAACTATCAAAACACAAACCATGTGTGAAAAACTTTAATTTCCAGACTGCTGGCATATGCATATGAAGTAAAGTATATGTGTGATGTGTATTACTCAATAAAATCAATAAAACAAGGCAATGCTCCACAGAAATCATCAACACTTACAAAAGTCATTTTCTATATTTCAGTATGTACATGAAAGGTATGGTATGACAGGAAAGGTATAATTATTTTTCTTAATGTATGTAATATATCAGAGAGGTATAATTGTTATTCATATACATGTATATAAATGGCAGGCCACAATACTAACTTGTACTAGCAGGTGGTAAGCAGAAGCTGAACCAATTTAGGTTTTCCTTATAGAAGTCAAGTGGTCCTTCATCTTTTTGCATTTTTTTACACATTTTTTTTTAACTTCAGATTTAGAAAAAAATAAACTTAAAATTGGTGACAGAGAATTATTATTAACTGAGGAAAAAAACAGACATGTTTAGATATATACTTTCATATTTATAATTAAATCAGAAATTAAGGAGAGCAAGTCAGTAGGGTTTATTTTGTAATAATAATTACCTTTATCTATAGAATAACATTTTTAATACAAGAGGGCCATGATGGCCCTGAGGTCGCTCACCTGTATATAGGCCCCCCGTAGCGGGCCAGTTTAAACCCCCAGGGCTTTTATTTGAACAAACTTGGAAGACACCCATTAGAAGATGTTTCATGATGTTAAGTTTTTACTACACACATATAATGAAAAACAATGACCGCCGCTCCCCTCCTCCCCTCCCCTCCCCCCCCCCCCCCCCCCGGCAGAGCCAATTTTAACCCAAGGGTTTTTATTTGAACAAACTTGGTAGACATCCATATACACGTATAGTTAAAAACAATGACACCCAATGACTGGGGCGGGGCCAGTTTTGACCCCAGGGCTTTTATTTGAATAAACTTTGTAGACACTTACTAGAAGATTTTTCATGCTTAATATCTAAGCTCTAGCTCATACTAGAAGATGTTTCATGCTTAAAATCTAAGCTCTAGCTCATTGGGTTTTTTAAAAGAAGATTTTTTAATTTTTACTACATGTATACACATATAGTTAAAAACAATGACACCCCTGGGGCGGGGCCAGTTTTGATCCCAGGGCTTTTATTTGAATAAGCTTTGTAGACACTTACTAGAACATGTTTCATGCTTAATATCTAAACTCTAGCTATTTGGTTTTTTTTCAAAGAAGATTTTATAGTTTTTGCTATACACATATAAGAAAAATCAATGACCCCAGGGGCGGGGCCAATTTTGACCCAAGGCCTTTCATTTGAACAAACTTTGTAAACACTCACTTGAAGATGTTTCATGCATAATATCTAAACTCTAGCTATTTGAGTTTTTTTTCAAAGTAGATTTTTTAAGTTTTTGCTATACACATATAAGGAAAATCAATGACCCCCGGGGAGGAGCCAATTTTGACCCCAGGGCTTTTATTTGAACAAACTTGGTAGACACCTATTAAAACATGTTTCATGTTAAATATCTTAGCTCTAGCTCTTTGAGTTCTTTAAAAGAAGTTTTTTAAGTTTTTACTATATGTATATAGGGTAAATCAATGACCCCCTTGGGGTGGGGCCAATTTTGACCCCAGGGCTTTTATTTGAACAAACTTGGTAGACACTTACTACAAGAAGTTTCATGCCAAATATCTAAGCTCTAGCTCTTTTGGTTCTTTAAAAGAAGATTTTTAAAGTTTTTACTATAATATTATGCATATAGGGAAAATCAATGACCCCCTGGGGCGAGGCCAAATTTTGACCCAAGGGCTTTTATTTGAACAAACCTGGTAGACACTCACTAGAAGATGTTTCATGCCAAATATCTAAGCTCTAGCTCTTTGGGTTTTTTAAAAGAAGATATTTAAAGTTTTTTCTTTTGGTTGCCATGGCAACCAGAGTTCTGCAAGGAATTAAATTCTTTGAACAATTTTTAAAGGTGTCCACCAAAGGAACATTCCTGTGAAGTTTGGATGAAATTGGCTTAGTGGTTTATGAGGAGAAGTCATTTAAAGTAAAAGTTTACAGACGGATGCCGGCCGGACGCCGGACGAAAAGCGATCACAAAAGCTCACCCTGTCACTTTGTGACAGGTGAGCTAAAAACTATTAACAACTGAATAAAACAGTTATTTTTAGACAATCACATATAATTAAATAATTTTCATTTACACAGTAATTAACATAGATGTTAGTCTTTACAAAAGGTGCTGCAACAAGACCTGTTCGCTTATATCTCTTTAGCAGGTCAGATGTTCTTAAAATGTTAACATATTTAACAAGACTCTGTTGGCAATCTTTGGATTAGACCCCTATGTACCCGGGTGTAAAAAGTCTATGCTTTTCCAGGGTTTTCCATGGAAAATAAGAGACTGGAGTATTCGAACAAAATATTCCTGGCTGAAGCTGAAAAAAATGGGCTGGAAAAACAGGAAACAAGAGGGCCATGATGGCCCTGAGGTCGCTCACCTGTATATAGGCCCCCGAAGCGGGGCCAGTTTAAACCCCAGGGCTTTTATTTGAACAAACTTGGAATTAAGACACCCATTAGAAGATGTTTCATGATGTTAAGTTTTTGCTATACACATATAAGGAAAAACAATGACCTTCTCCCCCCCCCCGGCAGAGTTAATTTTAACCCAAGGGCTTTTATTTGAACAAACTTGGTAGAAACCCATAAGAAGATGTTTCATGCTAAACATCTAAGCTCTAGCTCAATGGGTTTTTTAAAAGAAGATTTTTTAAGTTTTTACTATACACATATAGTTAAAAACAATGACACCCCTGGGGCGGGGCCAGTTTTGACCCAAGGGCTTTTATTTCAACAAACTTTTTAGACACTTATTAGAAGATGTTTCATGCTTAATATCTAACTCTAGCTATTTGGGTTATTTCAAAGAAGATTTTTTAAGTTTTTGCTATACACATATAAGGAAATCAATGACCCCCGGGACGGGACCAATTTTGACCCCAGGGCTTTAATTTGAACAAACTTTGTAGACACTCACTAGAAGATGTTTCATGCTTAATATCTAAACTCTAGCTATTTGGGATTTTTTCAAAGAGGTTTTTTAAGTTTTTGCTATACACATATAAGGAAAATCAATGACCCCCGGGGCAGGGCCAATTTTGACCCCAGGGCTTTTATTTGAACAAACTTATTAGACACCCATTAGAACATGTTTCATGCTAAATATCTTAGCTCTAGCTGTTTGAGTTCTTTTAAAGAAGATTTTTTAAGTTTTTGCTATATGCATATAGGGAAAATCAATGACCCCCCTGGTGCGGGGCCAATTTTGACCCAAGGGCTTTTATTTGAACAAACCTGGTAGACACTCACTAGAAGAAGTTTCATGCCAAATATCTAAGCTCTAGCTCTTTGGGTTTTTTAAAAGAAGATATTTAAAGTTTTTTCTTTTGGTTGCCATGGCAACCAGAGTTCTGCAAGGAATTAAATTCTTTGAACAATTTTTAAAGGTGTCCACCAAAGGAACATTCCTGTGAAGTTTGGATGAAATTGGCTTAGTGGTTTATGAGGAGAAGTCATTTAAAGTAAAAGTTTACAGACGGACGCCGGACGAAAAGCGATCACAAAAGCTCACCCTGTCACTTTGTGACAGGTGAGCTAAAAACTATTAACAACTGAATAAAACAGTTATTTTTAGACAATCACATATAATTAAATAATTTTCATTTACACAGAAATTAACATAGATGTTAGTCTTTACAAAGGGTGCTGCAACAAGACCTGTTCGCTTATATCTCTTTAGCAGGTCAGATGTTTCTTTGGGTTCTTTAAAAGAAGATTTTTTAAGTTTTTACTATATGCATATAGGGAAAATCAATGACCCCCTGGGGCCGGGCCAATTTTGACCCCAGGGCTTTTATTTGAACAAACTTGGTAGACACTCATTTAGAGATGTTTCATGCCAAATATCTAAGCTCTAGCTCTTTGGGTTTTTTAAAAGAAGATATTTAAAGTTTTTTCTTTCGGTCGCCATGGCAACCAGAGTTCTGCATGGAATTAAATTCTTTGAACAATTTTTAAAGGTGACCACCAAAGGAACATTCCTGTGAAGTTTGGATGAAATTGGCTTAGTGGTTTATGAGGAGATGTCATTTGAAGCAAAAGTTTACGGACGGACGGACGCCGGACGAAAAGCGATCACAAAAGCTCACCCTGTCACTTTGTGACACAGGTGAGCTAAAAAAAACACAGAAAATTTTTCATGCAGCATGGAATATTTTCCATGGAAAAGCATGAACTTTATTCCATGCTTTTCCATGTACATGGAGTATTGGAACAAAAGAATGGATTTTTTTCTAGGGTATTCCATGTGTCTGCCAACCATAGAGGCTGGACTTTTCATCATGGTAAATAGTCCATCCTTGATGGTATACCGGTAACATGAAAAAAAATCCAGCCTAATTCCAGCATCCCTGAATGTTCTTAAAATGTAAAATTTTGGGATGGAATTCTAATAATATTTCAGTAGTAAAACTTGTAAATGATACACTTAACAGGCTGGTTAAAATGCTTGATAGGGCTTTTGACATAAAAACTCATATTTCTAGAAAAATAATAAAGATATCTCTTTTAAACTTTGTTTATTGAGCGTAATGTATGACAAGAACGGAAAGAAAAATATTTGGTTATTGTCACTTATGTTAGAATCATTTCCCATTTTTCATATTTCTATAGCACATAAATCCTTAAAAGATTTGTTCCAGATGCAAAGTATAAAAAAACAAGGTTAAATAACTTTGTTATGCTCTAATTCATTGCCCCAACACCTGTCAGCATACATTTCATTCAGTTTTCAGAGAAAACTTAAAAGTACAATGTATGTTCAGACTGAGAATTGTCAAAATATATAAATGCCAGAAACAGAATAATTTTTTAAATCAAAATATATAGAATAAAGGTACTGGCTCAATAATCTTGATCAAAATCAGATGTTTGAAACGTTTCTGTTAAGAATTTTACATTACAACATAATTTTCATGAACTTCAAACATTTTGTTTTCTGTAAAATGAGAAAAAGGGAAATAATTCTAAGAAAAAAAAGGCAACCAAAATCTTTTTATTGTGATTTGTATCATAT